CTCAAAGCTGCTGAATCCACTAATAGAATTCGGAGTGTAGAAAAAATACAATATCTGACCCTACCAATTTACACTATTTATATTCGGCTTATTGTCCTAATCTTTGTTGTTGTTATCATAACGCTTCGCCCGATGCCCCCCACCACCACCACGTATTCATCAGGTTTATATCGATCCGAGTAACCTACATTTAATCTATGTAGGTAGACTGTAGTCGTTCCACTGCCCATGTCTAGGGATATCTCGACTAGTTCTTAATTTTAGTACTGCTCAGTTATTGCTCGCCCGTTTCCATTGAGTCCAAGTACACACTGTCCAGGGATTGAACTCACAATTACTATATCAGCAAATTCACGATCCAACGCATTAATCCACTACATAATCAAGTACAATTCTCTATAGTGAACGTGGAATCTTAAACCTAACCTGACAGCTGCTTAGTGCAGCTACTGCTGCTTAGTGCAGCTACTGCTACTGCCTATCATGTTTTAACTGCAGCTGCTGTTGAAGACTTGCTGTAATTTGTCTTTCTTTATTAATGGCGCCTATATTGTGTTTATTTTTGTGCTAGGCCTACTAAAGAGGTCCTCATAGGCTAGCACATGCGTTGATTCTTTCAGGCATCTAACTCTCGAGCGTTCTTCCTTGTTCAGCATTTTCCCTTCATTCCCCGGGGTGCGAAGTGATGAGAAGGACAATAGTTCGAATATAAACAGTGTAAATAATGATAACTCCTCACCCTAGAAATTTAGACAGAAAGTAGCCATACTTTTTTAAACATTTTAATGGCGATGGCAAGTTCTTTGAATTAAAGCCCATATTTGGACAGTACAAATATCAATTGTCGATTATGTTACTTTAAATTGCAAGTTAGATGAGGGCCCAACCAACATTCGAAAACTTTCAGAAGCGCCGAGATCCTCGATATGCAACATTACATAAAGACAATGATTTAATTTATAGACGAACATTTTTTTTATCCACTCCTAATTTTAACACCCTAACCCAATCCGATAATTTATTGATTGGTATATTGAGATATTAATCTTTTTCTGATACAAGTCTTAGTTTCATCGTGATACGACGGTAAGCCCCAACCCGATAAGAACGAATAACAAACACTACAACTAAATCATGACAGAAGTCTAAATAAATAAATAAAAATCGTTCTCTATGGCAGCGAATGCCGGACAATTTCTTCACAGACGAAGAGGATACTTGAGGCAATAGAGATGTGGTTCTACAGAAGGATGCTGAAAATACTATGGTACGAACATGTAAGGAGGAATTTTTAAAGAAAATGGAAACCAAAAAGACACTAGCACATTGAATCACAAAGAGATAGTCAACATTTCTGAGACACATAATGAGGAAAGAAGGCTTGAAGAATTTGACACTCACAGGAGATACTGAAGGCAAGGGAGGTAGAGGGAAACATCGAGTAACTTACCTATCGAGCTTGTGGAATTAAACAGTAAAAAACTGTATGGGAGGGACAATAATAGAACTAATATTGCCTAGAGCTGCAAAGGATAGGAAGTTGGGAGGACCATGATCGCCCAGGTCCTGAAAAGACAGAGAACATAAAGGAAGATGAGAACTCAAATACCAGCATTAGACAAATATAAAAACCCAAGTTCGTCGATGTAGAACATTACATAAAATCCACTGATAATAGGCATAGTAACCCAACCCAATAAGAACGTATATCAAACATTACAAATAAAACGTGATAACGATGACGTGTCTTTATTTTGACATTATTAACTTTTATGCAACATAGACAATCAACCCACAAAACGTTTTGTTAAGGCATTAGCAGCAGTCACTGGCTGTTTATTTGAAGCTATTCGTGTGTAAAATGAGATTTCATGACGAAGTTTCTTAAGATTTGACCCTGTTTATAATGGGTCGCATTGCAAAATCATTGAAGCAGTAAGGTTGAAATACATCTTTCCAATGTTTACGTAAGCTTAAATCAGTTAACACCCTTTTCTTGTTGAAGATCTTGCCATTGACATTGTAGACTCCTCTGTGGATCATAGAGCCACAACTTCGCCAGGCTAAGTATTAATGCTGTGACTTTCATAACATGAAGGTTTTTACGAAGTTGAATTGCTACCTCCACACGCAAAAGGTCTTTGGATTCATACTTGTTTTTCTATGCTGGTTGCCAATTAATGCTAGACAGGCCAGTTTACCTTGTTAACCCTTCACTCGGAGACGAGATGGATTCATAGATTTCCAAGAGTATCTGTGCGGAAGCAACGGCTTGAAGAGACTTGGAGAAACAGAACGAAAGGGACTACTGATCAGTTACGTAATATCAGTCCTCCTATAAGGCAGTGAATGCTAGACAATCTCCTCACAGATGAAGAAGAGACTTGAAGCAACAGAAACAAAGAAAAGCGTATTGAAATGTTACATAATATCAGTCCTCCTATATAGTAGTCAACACTGGATAATCTCCTCACAGATGAAGAAAAAACTTGAAGCAACAGAAAGAAAGAAAACTATTAAACTGTTACGTAATATCAGTCCTCCTATATGGCAGTGAATGCTGGACAATCTCCTCACAGATGAAGAAGAGACTTGAAGCAACAGAAACAAAGAAGAGTACTGAACTGTTACGTAGTATCAGTCCTCCTATATGGCAGTGAATGCTGGACAATCTCCTCACAGATGAAGAAGAGACTTGAAGAAACAGAAACAAAGAAAAGTGTACTGAACTGTTGCGTAATATCGGTTCTCTTATGAGGCTGTGAATGTTGGACAGTCTCCTCACAGACGAAGAAAAGACTTGAAGCAACAGAAACAAATAAAATGTGTATTGAAATGTTACGTAATATCAGTCGTCTTATATAGCAGTTAATACTTGATAATCTCCTCACAATTGGCGAAAAGACTTGAAGCAACATAAATGTGATTATACAGAAGGATGCTGGGGATACTATGGACAGAACATGTTAGCAGCGACGAGGTTTTAGAGAAATGGAAACAAAAAGGACACTTATTACTTATATAATATTATATAATATTAAGAAGAGAGTGTTGAAATTTCTAGTGCACAAAATGAGGAAAGAAGGCTTGAAAAATTTGATACTCACAGATCAGTTTGAAAGCAAGAGCAACAGTGGAATAAAATGAAGCGTTTGAGTAAATGAATGGCGGAACTGGATTTAGGAGCGCTAAGAAAATTGATTAAGCGCTACAAAGGACAGGAAATTGTGGAGAGCCATGATCACAAAATCCTGAATGGGCACGGCATATAGAAGATGATTTGTGGAAAAAAACAAAATGAAAATTTTGATAAAACAAAACGAAGCCATTTTTGATAAATTATCGTTATGTTTCAGCAAACAGAATAATAATCTAAATAAATAAACGGTAAATTCTGTCTGTCCGCCGTGGGTCTGAAACGCCTCTAACCCGGGTCACATTTGCTCTGCATACAAATATTATACCTTTTTAGAATCAGGAATCTACCTTTCATCTGGTGCTTGATCATCCAGCATTGGAATTTTTGTCAGATGAGGAAGAAATAGTTACAAATTCAAATTTTAAAATAACTGAAATAGTAATTTTAAAATTTTTAATTTATATTGAGTTTAAAGTAACACAATATTTTGTAAATTTATTTTTTTAAAATTCGGTTTAAAATATCCCCAAAACTTTGTGAATTGAGTAAATCAATCTTTTTCTTGAAAATGTCAAGGAATTAAAGTGAGAGGTTTCGTGACGTGAGTTTTTTTTTTTTAAGTTCCGCAAAGTTTGTGATTTGAAAAACATAACTCAATTGAAGTTCCACGGAGGCTGTGATTAGAAGAACCTAATTTTCCGCCTGAATTAGAATTTTGGCCCAAATCGGTCTTTTAGTCGGAATTGGACTTATAGCCAGAGTTATTTCTTCAAATTTATCATTGCCGTTTTCTAAACTGAACCAGAGATCCCTTTGGTTTTGGGCTGGAAACCCAATTAATTCAAAATTCCGTACGAAATGAGCCTTCTAAGCTAGTTAGACAATAAAATACTAATCTTTTACTGAATGATCAATGCTTACGTGCATGTGTCCACTCGCAATTTCATTAAATGTCTACACAGTTGGTTGTCTGTCCATGTTTAATTATATGAAATTAACATAAAATAAGTATGGTTTTAACATGGCATTTATTCACTTATCCACTTGAACGGATGATGGCAGAAGGCCAAGTTTAAAATAGGAATCCCACGGCAGATGGAAGAAGAATATAGAAATTTAATTAATTGGAAAATGTTTTAACAGACGATAAAAATGTGACACAGAAATCCGAAAGCGCATTTGAATATCAAAAGATGCCGTCCAAAAGCTGGGCAATACATTAAAATGCATGAACTGTGATGGACTGCTGTTTAATATCAAGCCTACTCTGCGGCAGTGGATGCTGGACAATTTCCTCACAAATGAAGATGAAACTTGAGTCAACAGAAATGTGGTTCTACAGAAAGATAATGAGAATAGAATGAACGGATCATGTGAACAACAAATGGAAAAAGGACATTAAAAAAAGAGACAAACTGGAATTTCTGTGACACGTAATAAGGAAAGAGTGTGGTCACTTCGACGTGAATGTAATGGTTAGCAAGCTTGTCTCATTAGATCAATTACGACTGAGTAGTGAGTTCGAACCTCTCTACATGCTCAATACTTTCGGCCTTGTGTCACATTTAAGCTGCGCCTAGGAAATCAACAGAATAAGGAAAGACCGTTTGGAGAACTTAGCACTCACAAGACGCAGTAAAAACAAGAGGACAGTGGGAGGAACATTGAGTAACCTTGTGTAAACAGATGCAGAACTGTAACTAGAGGAATCATCATAAACAGTTAGAGCTGCAATTGATAAGAAGTTGTGGAGAGCCATGGTCTGCCACGTCCTGAAGAAATATGACATATTAGAATAGGAGAAGAGTAAATTTCAGATAATAATTTAAATTTGGATTATGTTTCAAAAAGAAAATCTTACTTGTTATTGAGCCACCGATTTGATTCAGCTGATGGTGTGTGTCAATGAAAAGGTCGTGAGTTAAATCTTTGGTATGTTCAATTATTCCTTTAGTTTGTGCGGCAATGAATGGGAGATTTATTAAAAACACGAACCATAGCAAAATGCTAAGCCTCTCTCTTCGGTAATTAGAAACTAAACTCATCTGAAAAATAAGCACAAAAAAAAACTTTTTTATAAAACATTAACTGATTTGATGACATAAAAACTTATCTGGTGTATAGAACGAGCTAAATTCTTTAGTTCCACTAGTTCAAACTGTCAGAGCTAAGAGCTCCCATGTTAGTCATATTTCATTTTACTTGTAAGAAGCAGTTCCTCCCAGAGAGATTCTTTCTGAAAACAGCTACTTTGTGAAGCTTCTCCAATAACCTCAATCCCAACATCTTCAAATCTATGGTAGGCCATTATCTATCCTTCATACTCATAATCTTACTTCCTTCTCTTACGTTAGTACAATATATATATATATATATATATATATATATATATATATATGTGCGGTACTTATTAGAAAGTGCTCAATATCAGTGATAGAGCTTTTCTTGTGATCGTATTAGTGATTTCTTTTCTGTGGGTAAAAACTGTGTGAATGTTCTATATATCGAAGCGCTTTCGGTTATTCTATTAGACATTATCAAGAATGTTTTTTTTTTTTTTTTTTTTTTTATAACTGACTGTGTAGATTTTTATATGTCTCTAGAATGATGGAAATGTATTTTTATTTCCCAAACGCAGTCAGCGCATTGTGGCCGTGATCATAGTTGGTGTTATTGAGTGTTAGATTTTTCTTTTTTGTTATTAGTGCTTCTATTGTCTTTTTTGAATGTTCATGAGGCTGTTATACTTCTATTTTTTAAGAGTAGCTTTCAGATGGCAAATTTCTCTGTGTGTTCAAATGAATCCTAATCAAACTATAGTCAAAGAGATGTAACCTGAGTCTTTATGGTCGGCATGTAGTGGTATGTTCAACATCCTTATTCATGAATGTGGCTTAATCAGGAACTTAGTTCCTTAAAGGACATGTGAATTCATAAATGATATTGGTTCTCTGTAATTTAGATTTTGCAGGTGAGTTGTTGTTGACTCTAAGGCTAGTAGTTGTGTATTTCTTTATAATATGTCTATGATAAAATTCATCCTGTTTATAGTTAACATGCATTTGATTTTTACAGAAAATATTGAAGTTGTTCTTTATCTATATGTTCATTGTTGCTATTGGTTACTTTAGAAAGAAATAGTCTAATTTGGTGATCTATGTGGTAGATGGGAAAACCGTTATTAAATAGCGTCTGTTTCACGTTGTTGAGTGACCACTTTAAATTTACACACGCTCTATCTCTGATATTGAGCACTTTCACCCATAAATGTAGCATACCTTAAAACTATGTTTTTCACACACACACATATCTATATATATATATATGATAGATAGATGATGATGATAGATAGATAGATATGATGAATATGTGTGTGTGTGTGTGTGTGTGTATTCAAAGAGGTTTGGTTAAATAATTTAGACATATGATGCCGATTAGTTTTCGTTGTGATCCTTTCTAGTTCAATGATTAATTTCTTGGTAACCTTAGAAAATTGATTAAGAAAATTACTAAAATTTTCTTTCAAATATTATTTTTTAATTTCCCAAGTACTTTCAATTATCATTTGAGACCATCTTCAGGGGATTAAGTTGCCTGTGAGTATGTATATGTGCTTCTGTAAATTCAAAACATTTCAACTGTTCGTTTTTACTGCTTATGCAGCGTTCCTAGATTTCGAAGTTCACATGGCGTATAGTTTAACATCGCGAGTAGTTTAACATCACCCGAGGAGACACATTTGTAGTTTTGAAACGTATTTGCCATTATGTATCGATTTTTAACATGTTTTAATATCGTAAAATAAATTATATATATATATATATATATATATATATATATATAATCCAGACGACATGCATTTAACGAATTCATTGAAAAATACATCCCTACCCCTAACAAAACGTAACTATTAACTGATACATGATAATGAACTCGCAAACACCCCTTGTCTAGATGAATGGGTTTCTCTGTATCCTTGGAAACGTGAATTAAGATTGTTGCTGTGCTTTTAAAACTCAGTAATAAGTTACTCCAAAATTCGCTTGAGGATGAAATGGAATTAATGTCTTTAATTTAATTACATAATTAAATTCGTAGCTTTTAGCTTCCATTTTTGAAACATGGTTAGAACTGTGTAGCGAAAAAATATTTTAAATCAATTAATTTATTATATATATATATATAGCCGTCTGTTATGACGGTCCACCATTCTTCTTCTCACGCTTGCAATTCAGGATTCAGGTGTGAAGTCATGCGCTGATGTATTCGGTGTCTATTCTGATGTAATAATTGCACACAATTTCACAAACAACTTTTTACATTTAAAATTCGTTTTATTTCGATAGTCTGTCTCATGATTTTAAGACAAATTGAAGAATTTTTTTGCGAATTTTCTGTACTGATTTTATTCACCAGTCCCAAACATTTTTGTTGAGTTGAAGGTGAGACCTAAATTTACATTTGTATACAACTCATGAAATATTCTATTGAACATTGGCCATTTAGTTTCTTTCCCACACATTTTGATAAAAGCGAGTTGTTTGCGTATCATTTTAACATTACATATATACAAGGGAGAAATATTTTAAATAAACACATATCCTTACGTGACTGACACTCACATGTATAATATCATTTTTCACTGACCATAAGAAAACAAATAAATAAGCAACCTAAGACCACCCAAATTTTATAGAGATAAATCCAGATGGGAGCTATACTTGGGAAAGTTATCTTTTTTGTTATTTCTTTAAGGCATGGACTACCAGGGATGACTTCAATGAGTCTACTAGAACTTTTTTCAATGAAATCCAGGTCTCAAATCACAATTGGGATTATTCATGTTTTTTTGAGATTTCCACTTCATGACCTTTGATTTGGATAGCTTTTAGAAATTCTTCAAAGATCCTGTAGGAATTGCCATGTCAATAAAAATGCACATTCTGTTTTTACAGTCTTTCATCACAATGTCTAGGCAATTAGTTTTTTTTTTTTTCCTTTTTTTTTAATCGTTTAATAATAATGCCACTAAGACGCAGGGGTTCTACAGGGAGTGAAAGTGAAAGAGAATGGGAAGACTGAAAATGGGGAGGATTGAGGAAAGGACAAAGAGGAACAGACTTCAAGAAAGAAAGATTATTATTATTATTATTATTATTATTATTATTACCTATAACATTTATATTGGCGTATGAATTTTTACAGATATATACCTTTATGTACATTTTCTCTACCTTTCTTTTCTCAATTAAGTTATATATATATATATATATATATATATATATATATATATATATATATATATATATATTAATTTGTTATCATTTTCATTGTAACAATTTACATTAACGACATATCCCAGTTCATTTCCGATGTAAAAATATCAAACTTATATACCAACTATGGTTGCAGGCGCAAACGAAAATATTGTGATTTTTTTCAAGAACTTATTATGCTCCGACAAAAGTCAAATATATATATATATATATAAAAATCTTTTTACCATCCAATATATATATATATATATATATATATATATATATATATATATATATATATATATCGGTGTAACAGCAAAATTGTCCAAATCGTGTGTTAGCAAAATTGACCAATTGTTAAATTAAGCTCTGAAACGTTGTATCTTAGAAATGATTAAAGATATCTTACTGGAATTCTCCGAAGTTTTTAAAACACTATTGGACTCTACTTTGAGCAATAAGAATGTATAATTACTCTCCAAGCTTAACAGAAGAATCGTGATGAGCTCGATCATAAACGAAAATGACGAAAATTCATCATTAATTAATCATATCTAAGGATTGGAAGTTCATGAAGTATTGTAATAAAGTTCATATATATATATATATATATATATATATATATATATATATATATATATATATATTCAAGAATTATTTTACAACTTATTCAAGACGATTTTTGCCATCTCTAACCTTCTAACTAGTAACAAATTGCCTCAGAGATTTCATGTACGATTTCATTTTCAAATCTTTTTCACTGCTGTTTGGACTGTCATAGCAGAAACTCGTCTCTTACGTGCCAAATATCTTATGGACTGAGTTGGGTCTTTTCTTATTGATCACTTTAGCTCTAAGTTAAAATGATGATCCCTCTTTGGACTGGCATAGTTGAAACTCTTTTCTTTAAACCATCGCTTTATTGTTCGATCACAAAGACGAACACAGGTTCGATATCTACCGGAAAACACATCTTCCTTTTTCGAATGCTCAGGATGATAGACGCAATGCACATTGTTTAATAAATAGATTCGGCGTCTATTTCAAATACAAAGATTAACACTCTAATGATGTTTGAAGTAATAGAAATGTTGGACTAAAAATATATATATATATATATATATATATATATATATATATATATATATAGAGAGAGAGAGAGAGAGAGAGTAAAGAGACTGGTTGAGAAAGAGATGGACACAAAGTGAGTGGGACTGATAATTACGCTTGAGGAAATCATTTCTCTGTTATATAATCTGGTTTTTATAGGTTATCTTATCATGAATTTAACTGCTTTTTATTGTATGAAAGAGTGTCCTAAATACCAAAAGTTTCGTAAGTTGCTTAAGCATTCTTGTATTTTTTTTTATTGGAAGAATGTTTATGCACACATACTAACAAATACTGTCTGAAGTAACCGAGACCATGTGACATGACTATAATACTTTTTTTATGATTGTTCTTAGTTTATGAACTGTGATCTTTCATGGCTCCCCACAATTTCCAGTCCTTTGTAACACTTCGTAAATATCCTTTCGCTATCACTCCTACTCCTTGTTCTGCTAACCATTTACGGAAGCTCCTTCTTCTTTTTCTATGTGTCATGTTCTTTCAGGGCGTTGGCGATTAAGACTCGCCACAATCGTCGTTTGTCCCACCTAGTAAATTTGGTTTCTTAATCCCTCTTCTTCTTTTGTTTCCATTTTCTTTGCCGTTGATCACATGTTCGGTCCATCGTATTCTCAAAATCCTTATGTAATATACAGTTGATAGTTTAAATAATTTAT